CCCCAAAATGCAGGCTTTGCAAAAGCTGACCCATCTGTCAGGGATTCTGAGGAGGTGCCCACATGGCGGGTACTCTCCATAAGCCCCAGCCCAAGGACTCTGTCCCTGCCTGGGAGCCAGGACCAGTGTGAAATAAAGGCTGCTGGGCCCCTGCCCCTCATCCAGAGTTCAAAGACCGCAAGAGACTGGCAGCACCCATCTTGGTGCTCTGTAAGAAAAAGAGGCACAGAGGAGTGGGGTCTACAATGAATTTAAATGGAAGCTGCAGGGAGCCAGTAATTTGTCACTAAAGCAGCCTGCCACATAGGAATCCCTGGAGCCGGGCTACCTTAATTCACTGTGACAGCTTTGTGGCTATAAAGCGGCCCCCTAAAAATAAAGCATACATAATGCATCCTGCATGCTGGGCATAAGAAATGGTAGGATGCTAAATGCTATTGAAATGGGGTCCCCAGAGAGTCCTCCACTTCCCAGTACACAAAGGAGGGGCTTTGGCAATGCTGCTAAATCAAAACCCACAGGAGGCTCCCGGTCTCTCTCCTCATGGGCTGTTTTTACACTGGCTCAGTGTGCTCTGTCTTTATCCTAGGTAAGTACTGTAAAGCAGGTTGCTCTAATAGGTTAAGCACATCGACACCACCCAGTGTCTGGAGGCTTTAGTAATGAATTGAGAGCTTCAGGGGCCTAGGCAGAAAAGAAACTGGTATGCTCAGTTGAGTGTACCTATGGCTGCTTGTGATAAAGAAGAAGAGCAGTCTGGTCTGAGAGTGGGGCCCCTGCCTGCCATCCCAGCACTCTGGGAGGCTGAGGCAGGATGAGCATATGTTCAACCCAACCTGTGCAATGTGGCAAGACTGTCAAAAATTAAAAAATATAAAGTCTGGGGAAGTAGCTTAGTGGAAAGGCCCTGGGTTCAATCTCCTGTGTTGGGTGGGGGGATGGGGAGAAAAGGGGAAGACGGAAGGGAAGAGGAAAGGAACGGAAGAGGAAAGGAACGATGGATGGAAGGAAAGAAGGAAGGAAGAGAGGAAGGAGGGAGGGGGCAATCTTAAGCACTGGAGTTTTGCATTAAAAGAAGAAAACTTTTGAGAGTGTCCAGGGTGATGTATGATAAATCCATTCTCCCCTTGGGTAAAGATATAATCAAGGCACCACTCTTAGAACAGTATGGCATGAGGAGCACAGTAACATTCAGTAACTCTGCTATAGGTAAAGCTGCGGTCTCCTGGTAGACCAGGTGGCCATGGCCTGGGTCTGTTCAGGCTTGTGTTAGCCATCTGTGCCACTTTACAGAGCCAGCTGTACCTCAGGCTGTGACCACTGAAGAAGGAAATGTAGTAATGGCCTCTGTGAGGGTTTGTTGAGAGAAGCAGACTGATAAAAAAAGGAAAGCCTTGGGAATCAGGAAAAGAGCCAGAAGAAAAGGGACAGATTAAATTCTTGATGGGGAACAAGATTATTGCATAATGTTGAGCAACTAAGCTGAAAAACTGTCCATGGCATGGGACTCTCAGAAAGATCAACTGAGATGACCCAAAAAGCTACATTCAACTTGCAGTAAGCACTGGCTGCCTTCTTGGTAGTAGGCATAAATTTATTATCATAAACCTTAATTAAACTTCAAAGAACAGAAACAATATTTAGGGAAGATTAGTTACAGGATTTACTCATCGCCCTGATAGGAAAAGGTGTACTCCTGTACCAAGCCAGAGCATCAGAGAAATATATACCCCAGCTAAAGTCCACTGAGCCTCCTTCAGAAAACCCACTTTCCACCTACACCACAATGTGGTAAGACCAGACCAGACTGAGAGTATTACAGTATTTGCATGATAAGAAGCCTGCCAAGGACATTTTCCATGATGAACTCTTTGTTTGGGGTTTTTTGTTTGTTGGTTGGTTTTGAGGTAGGGTCTCTCTACGTAGTTCAGGCTGACCTTGAACTCACTATGGAGCCCGGGCTGACCTTTAATTTGTGGCAATCTCTCTGCCTCAGCCTGGACAGTGCCAGGATGGACACATTACCATGCCTGGCCACAAGAAGTTTTTTGTGAGATCCTCCAGCAGAAATCCTAGACTGGATTTAAGATTTTAAAAAAATCTGGTGAGATTGGACCAAAGTAGATTTATGCTTTAGCATCAGTGGAACAATGTGCTCTTGTATTCATTCAAAATATTTACTGAGCACCTATTATGTACCAGAGTTTCCACTAAGATCCAAAACAAAGCAATAAAATATATAGGGATTAGCTGGGCATTGCAGCACACATGTACAGCCCCAGTACCCTGGGAGGATGAGGCAGGAAGATCACAAATTTGAGCCCAGCCTGTGCAACTTAGTGACTTAGGAAACCATCTCAAAATAAAAAAAATAAGAAGATCTAGGTGTAGCGGTGTATGAAGGCCCCAGGTTCAGTCCCCTGTATCAAAAAAAAAAAAAAAAAAAAACCAGGAATTATCTCCGCATCAATATACCTGGAGAAAAGTGGAGAAAAGACGATAATTAAGCAAGAACTTATAATCAAACATGCATTGCATTCAGTGCTAACACAGGATGGGCACAAAGAGGCCCTGGGTGATCACAAGATCTATCACTTCCTTGCGCAGGCGACAGGCTCAAGATAGCTAAAAGCTTCAAGAAAACAGAAACAACAGGAGGTCCTTAGAGGGCAAATTCACAGATCTACAGAAATCAGGAAGAAAGATGTGGGTGGGAAGAAAAGCAGAAGCAGACACTGAGACCTTAAGACTGTCTGTTCTACCCGCCAGAATTAATCTTCTATGTACTTTGTGTTGCTCTCCTGGCCGACACATGTAGGATTCTATTGCACAGTGTGTTCACAGATATATGCAAACTATTGCATAGGCTTTGAAGGAAACTGTCCTGAGTTTATGTCTTTAACTCACTAAGTGTGAGATGTCGTTAGAGAGAACAAAGGAAGGCCTGGCACTGACTAAGATAAAATCTCAGGAACTGTAACTCATCAGACTGAGCCACATCGCCATGACCTGATCGACTTCTCCCCATCTATACTTAGCTATGAATGGAAAGAGAACATTCAGGCCACACTGGATTAATAAACCTGCTCCGAATTGAGTCATTATTCTCAAAGATGCCAAAAAGGCACAGTGGAGCCATAAATGCATCTCAGGTGAATCCTGGCAATAAAAAGCTTAATTAGGCAACCAGGAGATCAGAGTTTTAGAAACAGACTTTTCACTTAAAAAAATAATCTTTGAGGCTTGAAGGGTTTGTGAACAGTGGCCCACGTGCGATGACAAAGCTGGTACAGAAGGTTTACCTTGTGCCACGGATTAAGTACTACCGAGGTGCAAGCTAACAAAGACCTCATGCGATAGGCAGCAGTGTCATTTCACAGCTGGGGAAACTGAGGCAGAAGGAGAGAGAAGCAGCATTTCAGGTCAGATGGTAAGTTCAGGCACAGGCAGAGGAGGAGAACAGCTCACTTTATTCTCCCAGCTTCCATTCCCAAGCAGCCTAAGGAAGCTCAAAGCATGCAGCTCAGGCCCCTGCCTCAGTTTATACCCAAGTTCACCTGCTCGTCTCTGGACCCTTCAACGAGAACACAAGTGGCAAAAGAGTCTCACAAAGGGGAAACAGAACCGGCTTGCTCCCCTCAGCCTCCCGTGTGCCTCTCATCCCAGTGATCCCAAACTGCATGGGGTTACCTGTGAGCTCTAACCTAAGAGACAAGTTGCCAACTCACTCAAGACCCAAGGGAATAAGTTTGCTGGGCCTCTGTTCAAAACCCTAAAGAGCCATAGACTTGGTGTGGGGTGTGGTCTGGTTACTTTGCCTGAATAAGTCTCAATTTTTTAACTGGAAATAGTAGTGATCTGCCTCAAGAGGATCATCATGAGACTTAGGTCCATGCCTCTGTGCGCCAGAAGAATCCACCCGAATGGTGTGCCTTGAACAGTAAGTGTCAGTGAGACTTAGCTTTTACCAACATGGGATTGATTAAATGCCGTTACTGCAATCCTGATGGAGGACAAACTGCGAACCACACTGGGAATCTAGAGCACTTAGCCATGAACCAGTACTCAACTCATGGTTAATAAAGACTACCCATTCTGAAACTAAGTTATAATCCCAAAGCAAGTGGAAACGGGATGGGATTCTTGTCCACTCCCAGTGGGTTTAACCAATGCCATCCCTGGCTTCCCAAAAAGCTTGCTGAAAAGCTAAATTCCATGGCTACTGAGAGTACCGCCTCTGAGTTCTAAAACTCGGTGAGCTCCTGCATAAACCCTAGAGCCATCTTAGATCCCAGTTGTAATTTCTGGAATCGTTCTACATTCAAAGCTGACTGATGAGGCACCGTAGATTCAAGCTCTCACTTGTCTCCACAGGGAGAATATCCTTTATGTGCCAGGGTGTGACCCCCAGTGCACAGCCTGGATGTATCCCGAAATCTCCCAGGGGTATCTGTCTCCCAGAGGACAGAAGCTTGGACGTCGGGGCCTATGCACCACTGTCGTGAAGCTTGAAAAACTCACATGACTGGCTGGGATACACCCTGGACACCCCAGCAACCTTGGTCTCATTTTCATTCTTTTTACATGAATAAAGGGGTTAAATCCCCTGGGAAGCGCAATCCATGGAGAGGTTGGATCTCTTTTGTTCTGAAGCTGCACCTTCTAAAAAGATTCCATCTGAGAAAGATAAGGCGCTTTCTCCTTTGAAAACTTCCAGACAACCAACTTCCGATTCAGCAGGACCCCAGGATGACACACCCGCCTGTCAGCACGTTATTCGAAGTCACCCTGGCGCCCTCTCCTCCTGCCTCATGCCAGTGGCTTTAATTAGCTGTACAGAGCCACTGCAAGGCCAGGAGGGCGCACGCAAGGACAGGCAGGCCACTCCAAATGTGAGGCGTGTGTGAAGAAAAACCATTTAGATACAGAATGAAGGAGAAGGGAGAAGGGGCCCAGATCTTCCCCAACAGTTGCAAAATCACCCAGCGCGGGGAGGTTACCTGGGGAGAACTCCGATTTCCTGCTGGCAGAGGGCAGTGTCCTGTTGAGGCCCAGGATCCGGTCCAGGTGGAAGGCGAATACCTCGCTCATGTCCAGGGGCCGCTTGAGCAGCGCGCAGGGTCTGGGGCCGCAGCGGGGCGGGGCGCCGGCCTCGAGGTCGCCCAGAAGCAGCAGGCGCGCCCCGCCGTCGCCCGCGGAGGCCGAGGCGGAGGACACCGCGCCGTCGGCCAGCAGGCGCAGGCTGCGGAGGTCAGCGCTGCTCAGCCACGCGGGGGCGCGCTCGCTGTACAGCCTGATGCCGCTCTCCCGGGCCGGGGGCGGCCGGAGCAGGCCGGGACGCGGCTCACGCACCTCGGCGCCGCGCACCCCAGCCTCGGTCTGTGAGGACGTCCCCGCGGGGACCCCGAATCCAAGGCCCCCCGAGGTCGCGTGCTTCTTCCTGCGCTTGGGTCTCACCGTGCCGCGGATGTGCGCCGGCTTGCTGCGCCTGGCGCGCAGGGTGATGTACACCACGTTGGGCTGCAGGGCGCTACCGTTGCCCGGGGACTCCGGAGCGGCCAGGGTGCCGTCCAGGGGGATCTCGGGGAAGGAGGCCTGCGCGGGGTCGCGGCCGCGAAGTGGGCCCTTGGCAACAGCCTGTCCCGGCGGGAGCGACGCGCGCCCCACCTGGCTGACCAGGAAGCCCAGGTAGAGGGCGCAGGCCGTGCCCAACAGCAGGTTCCTGCGGGTCCGGGGCCGCCGGCCGCTGCAGAGCGCGCGCAACCGCGGGGCGCACAGGGCACACAGCCGCCGGCTCCGGGGGGCGCCGGCCTGGCCGCCCGGGTCATCGCGCCGCCGCGGCCACATGGCGCGCAGAGCTATAGGCGCACACCCGGCCCCCGGGGTACCAGCGCATGGCGCCCGGTCCGGTTCGGGTCGGTCGGGCGCGCGGCTCAGGGTCGGGCTCAGGAGTCTGCGGCAGGCAGAGGCTCGGGCAGCTGTGCAGAGGGAGCTGGCCTGGGAAAACCTTCATCCATCGCCAGCCGCCTCCGCAAGCAGGAGCTGCAGCCGGAGCAGGAGCCGGGGCAGGAGCAGAAGCAAGCGCCGCAACTCTGGGAATGAATGGAGGGCGAACTGAGTCCTGGTCAATCGCAAGCCAGCTTCTCTCCAAGAGGACAGACAGACACACCGGTTTTCTTCCGGGAATCCCTCCTCTAGAGAAGACAGAGAGAGGATAATCAGACATCCGAGTTTTAAACAATGAAAGCAATCCAAAGGGGTAGATTTGATAACCAGTTTACAGTAATGGAACACCTCCTTCCCCAAAGAACTACAAGAATAGATTTTTAACTCGATTCGGAAGCACAGCACTAATATCTGGCAGAATTGGCTGCTTTTGCTTAATAGGGGATTTTTTTTTAATGTGTAGCTATGCCATATTATTTTTTTTTTTAAGTTCTACATTGACTAAAGGGGCAAAAGCACCACATATTAAGATTCAAATTCAGAAACGTAATCTTTTAAGCTGACATTACAGATTTACCTTCAGAGTGTTTCATTATTTTACATTAAATGTTAAGATGCTATAAAGCCGTAAAGGACTCTAGAACTTGAAAGCAGCTACATTTATCCAATCACAGACACACTCAGAAAACACACAAACAAGATCTCTTTCCCACAAGTCAGCTCAAAAAGAAAAGAATCTCTAGTGCAGTGTTTCCATGTTATTAAAAGGAAGAGGAAACTCTAGCAGCCTTACTTAACTGTCAGCCGGTGCTCAGGACTCGGCGCTGGCGCGAGGAGGAATGCAATTAATTCCTGCCTCTAACGCAAAGAACTTGGGAGCCCCGAGGCGCCTGGCAGAAGTATTTCATGGTCAAGGGTGTTCCACATTGCTAGCATTTCAGTTGGGCCTAACAAGCACCCTTGAAAAACTACCGATGGCAAAAGCAAGATGAGTGCTTGGGTGGCCACCCCTGCCGCACCGTTTTCAGACATGTAAAATAGTTTAAAAGTATGCTTGAAAATAAACTTTAATCTTAAATTCTGCAAATGCCTTACAGAATCAGCTTTCGTGCAAAGATCTTTTCCTGATTTTTAACCCCCGGGAGCCCTCTAGTGTCCGGTTTGCAGACAGACACAGGATTATCCCTTAGTTTGAGACACACCCCCAGAGGATTAGAGGCCGGGAGCTCTGAGGAGCCCAGGGCCCCTCTGTCCCGTCCATGACACCGGGAAGGAGGCACCTGGCTTCAGAGACCCGCACTCACCTCGCTGACTTGGCTTTTGCTGGATGTCACTCGGCTGGCACCAATGCTGGGGAAAAAGGCCCAGAGGTTCAGCATATACTAGGAAAGTGCTGTAAGGAGCAAAGGTGAAAAATAGCCCCTGAGATAAGCCTGTGCAGAGATAGCAAAGGACATTTATAGTGCAAGCTGCACAGCAAGCGGGGAGCAGAAAGTGTCCCATCCGCTCTGATTGGAGGGATTTTAAAGACAGGTCAGCGATTGGCCTCGGCTGTCCACGTGTCCCGCACAGGGGCAGGAGCTGGGGTGACCTCAGGGTCCCCTGCAGGCAGACTCTTTATTTGTTTCTGCAGCAAATAGAAACAGAAGCCACAAAGGGGACAAGGCCTTGTCCCCTGTCCGGTAGGAAAGGAGGAGGTCACGCCGCGAGTGGGAGGGAAGTCAGGGTATGGTGTAGAATCCTAAAAATACTGCAGTTTATGGGAGAAAAAACTCGAATATATATAGAAGGAGGCCAAGGGGTGAAGTGCCAACAATTATAACAGAGATGTTATTTTAGCGCTCTTAACCCCAGGCCTTTCTTGCTATTTAAAAGTTCAGGCCCAGAGTGGAAAGAGTAAAAACACAATTCCAGCCAGCGGGGACCTGTTGCTTAGGGCTGAACAGCGTGAGAATGCAGGCGTCCAAGGATTCTTCTTGCCCTCCTGACCTGTGGCGACTCACACTGCTGTAAGCACAGGATTATTTTCTAGACAGCAAATACGCTTTTTAATAATTCTTAGTATTTTTGCATATTCCAAAGGAAAACTGGCCCGAGTCTTTAAAAACTGAATGGCTAGGAGTGAATAGCGCATTTACCAGCAGCATGTTCAGCACCAACAGGGCACAAAATAAATCAAGACCTAAAAATTTAATATCTTTGAAAGAGGCCAAACGATAATACGCAGAAGCTCCCTTCAGTCATTTTTAAAACGGCCCTTTAGTAAAGAAAAAAATACCTCGGCACTAGATAAAGATTGAGCTGGTAAATTTGTCTCACCCACCCCCAACTCAAACACACCTGTATCAGAAAAAGTCCTCTACAGCTGTGTCCTCTCTGGGCCCCCTGGAGAGGGTACACCCAGCTGGGGTGCTGAGCGCACAAGTTGGCTTGAAGCTGTCTCTCCTCTCCACTTGCTGGGTGTGGCCCCTGCCCAGGCCCGGTTTGGTTTCTAAGAGAGAAACGGTGACAGCAGCCACCTTTGTCTTGTGCGTCTGTCCCCAAAGCCTAGCACAGAAGGTCCTCCTTGCCATCACTGAGAGGCGGCCAGACTGTAGGAAGCGGACCTAATGGGAGGCAGTGTCATGGCAAGGGCACCCTTGGGGTTTGCTCTGTGGCCCGCTTCCTCTCCCCACCCTCGCCTCCCCAGTCTGTCTGCTCCCGCCTCTTTTTCCTTCTCTATGTCTCCTGTCTTTCTCTCTCTTTCTTCCTCCTCTCTTCCTCTTTCCTCTCCCTCTATCTCTCTCTCCCTGTCTCTCTCTGTCTCCCTTTCCACAGCCTCACCTTTCTGTCTTATCCTCATCCCTTCATGGTCACCGTGAACTCGGCAGCTCCACCCTTGCACACTTGCCCTAACCACCTCAGGAAGTCCTGCCTCACCACAGTCCTGGAGCAACAGGACCAAGTGATCGGGAACCTGAAACTCCTGAAACTGTGAACCAGTCTTTCCTCTTTCCAGCTGGCATTCTTTTGTCTGTCCATAGCAACCCAAAACTGACTGACACACTGTACCCTCAGCTTCTTAGGAGTAAGTGGTGAAGAGGGAGTGATCGTTTGAAAGTTCACAGGGTTTTTGCTTTTGTCTCTGTCTTGGTCACTTTTTGGTTGTTAGGGTGCAATTCCTGACACCCACATTTTAAAGAAACAGAGGGTGATTTCGCTTACAGTTCTAGGAGGGTCAGTCCATGGTTGACTGGTTTGGACACAGAAACCACATGGTAAATGGCCAGGCAGAGGAAAGCTGCTGGGTTCATGGGGAGGGGAAGTACAGAGAGCAATCCTGCTCAGGGAGAGAGATCTTCCCTGCAGGTGAGGGCTCCCAGGACCCACCTCCAGCTAGAGCTAACCTTGCCACCACAGGGGCAGCTAGGATCTCATCTGTGAATTCATCCACAGGTCAGCACAGCGCCCCCATGTTCCAGTCACCTTCCAGTAGCTCTGCCACTGCACTCATAAGACTGGTGGGTGCCATCTACATCTTAATCATGCCAATTCCCTCCCCCCAGCACTCACAGAGTTCTGAACTTCTCATGAACTCTACTCCCAGCACTATCCCCACCAAACAAAGGTATCATGGTAGAATGGGGAAGCCAGCATGTAGAACTACTAGCATAACCAACTTAACACTACAACCAGTACACCAGAGAAGCAGACGTCATCAGGTCCCAATCTTACCATTCCTTCTGCTGCCTAGTCGAGCCTGCTCTGGAGCCCAGTAGTTGTTTAAATATCCGTGGATGAAAATTCAAGCATGCCCTTGGATTCTCAGTTATTCCACCTGTCAGGGTGAGGCATAGACACATGCACACACGCATATTGGTTTGGGTTCCTTTTCACACTGAATCGCATCCCCTGGGGTGAGTGATTCAGCTCAGGGGTAGAGAGAGGGCTTGCCTAGCATGTACAAGGCTCTGTGTTCCACCCCAGCTCCACGCAGGAAAAAAAGTCAAAACTTACTGAAGCGCGATAGTAGGAGCCTTTTTTGCCCCTGCAGACCTTCTGCTCTTCTGTCCCTCACCCACCTGCCACCCCACACTGAGTCAGGCTGTCACCATTCTTGGAGACGGTACTAGAGAGAGACACAGTAATGGCAGAGGAGCTCCTGCTGCTCCCCTGATGGCCCTGAGAGTTCTTTTCAGCTCCCTGGGCATAGTGGAGCTGGAAGATGGACCCTCCAATGGGACGGGTGCTTTGCAGTCATTTCGAAGACTCCATGGCCTTTCTGGCTACTGCTGTTTCCTCCACCTCCAGGACAAGGCAGCCCTCTGTTTCACTGGTTTATTTTATCTCTAAGGCAACATGGAAAGGCACCACAGCTGGTCTCCCCGCTTGGACCCAGATGGACTACACATAAGTGGGCTGGAGACACAGTCCTTGGCCTTTGAGAACTTAGGCTTTGCAAGCAAGCACCCACCCACGTCCCTCCCGGAGCGGATCCACACCTTACTCTGCAGTGTGAAAGCCACTGCCTCCTCTCCTCCTGATCGCTACTGAAACCAAAGAGGAGTTTCTTCTGCTCCCAGTCAGCATGGGACCCAAGAGAAGCTTAGCAGTGTTAGAAAGGACAAAGCTGCATGACTTGAATGAATGAAATGAAGTTGGAAAACTTATTACTGCAATATAGTTTACAGCAACCTGTGAATGCATATGTAGGACTCAAAATATGAATTAACATTCTTATAACAAAGGAACTAATAATCCTCATTGCCTGAAGTCGTCTTTTTCCATGAAACTAATACGTGAAGAAAACAGCAGACAATTAGATGATGGTGAAGCCCATTACAATTACCTGTGGACCCCTTTATACATCTACCAGGAGGGAATGAGAAGGAGACACAGCAGCCCAGGCCTGGAGGTTACGGCAGTACCCCAGCTCTCCATTTAGGTGGCATGGACTCCAGTGTGTTTATCTGGGGACAGTGCACTGGCTCAGCTGTACACTTGTTCTCTGGGTACATTTCCATATATTTCTTATCTCTATAAAGTTTAATGGGATAATGGATGGACAGGTGTTTGTTTTACATTTCTTTATACCTGGTATTAAACATCTCTAGTGAAACTGAGCTGCCTAAGTGTAATAATTATTTAGATCTCATTTATCAGGAAGAGTCTGTCTTACTGTGTTCATTTGAAAACTAAATTGGAAAGTTAAATTAGAAAATCAATGGATAACCGTTTGAATGGTTCAGCCTCCCCTTTTTTCACATGGATTCAAACACAATGGATGGGAGTGGAGTCCGTGCATCCTCAGTTTTAGAAATGTCTGATTTGCAGGGTAGTAACCACTACCCTGGTTTCAGGATCAATTTGAAGCCTCTCTATGTTTCCATGGTGTCTTGGTTACTTTTCTCTCATTGCTGGGACAAAATACCCAATACTCAAAATGAAGGAAGGAAAGGTTTGTTTAGCTCACTGTTTGTGGAGGTTTCAGTCCATAATTAGCTAGCTCCAAGGCAAGGTGGTATGGTGCTGGGGTAACACTCCAAGGCAGCATAAGCAGCAAAGGCAGAAATGGGGAGAGCAAGCCTCTTCTCCTCCCTTATATTGCACACAAGCCATCCACCCTTCTAGGGGGAGTGTGGCACTTACAAAATCTTACCTTCCTCTTGCACAGGATGAGGATGTTTACAAAGAAAGAACCCTGGCTCCCTGCTGAGTCTCTTAGTTAAACTTCTAAACTTCTGGAGTTGACACAATGTATCAACAATAACAGTTGCTAAGTCCTGTATGAGGCAACAAGATCTGTGAGTCCTTCAAGGCTTCCCAAAGTCACATCCATTGTGTGGCAAAGCTGCTTTGCCCTTCTCCTGGGAGGACTCCAGAACCAGACCCCAGGGAAGGGGCTGGGCTTCCCACCCGACCCCCAACGCACTGCTTTGCTCCTGCATCCCAGGTCCCTTGTGCTACCTTGGGGGTCAGGGCAGCCTATCTCCTGAGAGCTGCCGGAAAATGAGGATGATTAGATGACTCCAGAAGCTGGAGGGCTGAG